TCAGACCAACTTCCTGTCTTCATCAGGTTCAGGCTATTTTTCAATTAATTTCAAAATAATGCCAAACTGTTAACTAGTTACATGATTAATTCACTAAGATGATACATTTCAATGCAGCCTACAAAGAACAGGGGAAACAGAAACTATGTTACGTATGTTTTTACTGGGTCTAAAACAATGTAGCAAATGCTTTGGTGGTCACAATGAATTACTTTTTGCTTCTTGTTTTCTTTTTTCTCCCTTTGGTCCTTGGAGTTGGAACTAGGAACTCTGCACTGAGCTACAATCCCAGCCCTTTTGGTTTTTTTTTATTTTTTTTATTTTGAGACAGGGTCTTTACCAAGTCACTAACAGGTTTGAATTTACAATTCCTCCCACCTCAGCCTCCCAGCATTCTTGGATTAAGAACAAGTATCACCACACGCAGCTACTTAAAAAAAAAAAAAAAAAAAAAATCCTGGCACAAGGGCAGAAGCTGTGATCTCTAACATCGGCCACTCAGCCTGCTCTGTGGCACATGCAGTCCATCGGCACAGCTAAGTACCTGGTGCCAGCAACCAAAGTGAACCACAACAAGGACAGGCGATAACGCTGGGCATGGCACGCACCTGGAAGCCCAGCCCCTGGGATGCGGAGGCAAGAGGTATAGGTCATCTTGGGCTGGCAGTGAGTTCAAGGCCAGCTTGAACTGTTAAAAAAAAAAAAAAAAAGGTACAGGGATCAAGCAACAACTATGAAAAAGCTGGAGTCAACCAGGTAACTTCTGACAGACTCATGCAGCACCATTTATGAGGCAGCTCTGGCCGAAAAATCACCACCACCACCTCCATCATCAAATGAGTTTAATCAGATCTCTGGGTTGAACAACTAATTTACAGGACAGGGGAGAGGGACACAGTAAGCAGATGTGAAGGACTCCAATCCATAAGCAATGTGGGGACTTCTAGAAGACAAAGGGCCCTGTCCCTCCAGTGACTAAACTACAGTAAAAACAAACGAGGATGAGATGGAAACTCCAGGTTAAGAGACACACCCACCAGGCTCGGCTTTTGGACCTAATCCAGGGCTGCTTCTAATAAGCATGCCAAGAAAGAAGAAAACCTGAGACGGAAAGGGAAATCTGAAGGGGGTAGGCACCACTGATAGGAGAAATTCACTATTAATTTCTGGGTGTGATAATGACCTTGCGGTTACATTTTTAGAAGGGATTCCCAACTATCTGTGACGTGCTTCTGTGTAATTGGGCAAGGGGGGAAGGTGTGGCTACGAGGTGGGAACTGTAGACACAGAGTAACAGGCATGTAAAAATTTATTACTCATTTTTTTTTTTTTTTTTTTTTAACCGGGGATTGAACTCAGTCCCTTGCGCTTGCCAGGGAAGCACTTATTGCACTGAGCCATCTCCCTGGCTATTACTCAATTTTTATGCTTGAAATAAAGTGTCTTTTAAAAAAGAAGAGTAGAGCCAGGCATAGTGGTGCATGCCTGTAATCCCAGCATCAGGGTGGCTGAGGCAGGAGGGACTGCCATGAGTTCAAGGCCAGCCTGGGCTGCATAGTGAATGTGAGAGACAGTCCAAACTACATAGTGAGACCCTGTTTCAAAAAACAAAACAAAAACGTAATCAGTGCAGCATATTAGGAGGATGAGGCGGGGGGGGTTCAAGTTTGGATCCAGCATGGGTCCAAGAACAAGATTCAAAAATGCAGAAATAAAATAAGGACTAGGGGATGTAACTCAGTGGAAAGGCCCGGGCCCTAGTTTAGATGTTCAGTATCACCAAGAAAAGTAACCAAGCTCACTACAGAAAATTTGGAAAACAGAGTAAAATATAAAGTTAAAAAGACTCCCATAAATCTTACCACTCAAAGCTGCAACAAAAGGAAGTCTTAATTTTGTTGCAACTATCTGACTAACCCAGACTTCCTACAAAGGACCTGAGAAAAGACTGCAGAAAAGGAAGAAGAGCAGAGAAAGACTACAGGATGGTCTTAAGTGTACTCATTCCAACCAATGCAAATTCCATATCCAGCAACATCAAGAACTACACACACGTATACACACACACACACACACACACACACCCCTGTATAACCAGAAGTTGCCACTGTTAGTTTAGGATACTGATCCTAATCTAGGTCACCGCTTTGCTCCTATGGAAGCTGCAAACTCATGTAGTTGTTAACTTGTTTGTTCAATAAGCACAACTCCATTGTCACCTATGAGAGCCAGTTCCTGCACTGAGGCTAATTAAAGGAAACAGATTATCTGCCCAGCCTCAGAGACTTCAGGGTCTGGGAGAAACACTGCCACCTCTGACCCACCAAGTCATGTCAGGAAGACACATAATCAGAACCAGTGCAGACTCCTTCCATCCACATCAGGCATCCCACAAGACCAGTGTTAGGTTGTGTCACAAGTTGTGATGCTAAATTAAGATATGTTTTTCTCCCTACCAATAATTAAAAACATTGAGGATTTGGAAACAGATACTTCTAACAACAACTGGGGGTGAATGCTGGTTTCCCCCGAGTGGGCGCTGCAGGGGGTGGGGGTGGTGTGTGTACATGTTACCCACGTGGCTGTCACCTGTCCACAGGGTGAGGAAGGGGTGGCTGAGGACAGTTTGCACTACGACTCCGCATGGGGATCAACATAATGCAGTCAGAAATTGAAGCCACTGAACCCAGATTCAAGTCAACAATTCCATGTAACAAGAGCTCTTAGCTGCAGCTAAGAAACTCATAGCTTCATACACCGACGGCAAAACTGGGAACCAAAACCTGAGAGAAGAGCCCCACTAACTATTGCCATTATTTTAAAGTCAATTAAAATATGCCATTATTTCTTCGCTCTGGATGATGAAAACCTAGGCATCCAATTTCCTTGCTCTGAATGCACTAAAATTTCTTTGTTATTTTCATGGGATCAGCTTGAGAAGCGCAATCTCACCCTGAGACACAAGTTTACAGCCCCCTGCCCTGTACATGTGACTACTTGGATTTGAGCTTCCTACAAGAACAAAGAATTCGAGACCACGAACTTGTGGACACACTCCAACACTTCCAGCAGCACATGGCTTTGCTACGGACGGACTCGGACATGCACTCACTGGTGTTCCTTCAGCCCATTCATCCCATCCACACACAGCGTACATCTCTGCCACGTGGATCATGCTCAGCAATACAGCTAAAGTCACATAAAGACAGCGGGTACAGTGTGCAGAGCACAGGGTGCACATCTGCAGTACCTGTTCCACCGGCAGGCCAGCGCTCCCTGCCAGATCGGCCAGCACTCTGCAATACACCCCCACCAAGAGCACTAGCTCCCTGGAGCAAAAATTCCAAGGCATCTGTACACCAACAACATTTTATAAATAACAGACTCAGGACTTGGCCAGCTCAGATGATCAGAACCCTGTGGGTGCAAACTTGCCTTGAGAGCAGAGATAACCTCAGGTGAGAGAGAGCCTCATTACAAGCTGGGCAGGTCCTAGACGGGTGCCCCTGAGCATGGCGGAGTGGGGAGCACTTGCAGTTATATAAAGGGGCAAAGAGAGGCCTTATGGGTGGGAAGTGAATGGGGGCTGTGCCTGCCATTACCTCATGGGGAGATGGGCTGAGGGTGCATGTGATGTCCTGAACAGAATAATGACATCATGGGACAGAATGCTACGGCCAAGTCCTAACCTGAGCTGTACACACCTTTCAGGTTTGGAACATGAGGGTGCACTTTACTTCTCACACCCTAACAGGAGTGAGTCACTGCTGAGGTGAAAAAGGTCCGATGCTATGGCTCTCATGCACACCCAGACCCGGGGAGAGGAGCCGACAGAGAGAAACACAGGGCCTGGGGGGCACCCCAGCAATCACTCCCAGAACCCAAGGTGCTCATAAAAGCAACTAATGACACAGTGAGACACTCCTGAAAGCAAGCTGCAATGAAGGAACCCAAATACTACAGAAGAGTTAGAGGCAATTATGGAGTAGGAAAAGAAAGTGCTGTGGAGGAAGTGAGTAATTAAACAGGCTTTCTCCCAAAGCACAGGCAGACCTTAAGGTCCTGACCAGGCAAGTGAGGGAAGTGCAGTTCAGAGCAGGGCCTGACAGGGGATCTGCAGGGAGCCACAGGTGGGATGCTGCTCAGCCAGGCTGGGCACAAACCATCCAGGCCAGGCCAGGGGTCCTACAGAGGCTTAGATGTGCCAGCCCCAAGTTGCCCACCATGTCTGTCCTCAGGATGCATGAGCCAGTGCCCTCCTAACCTGACCCCTCCTGGCCAAACCTCTATATCCAGATCTATACCCAGTGCCTGGACTGCCAACCAGGGACATCCACTTAGGGCTACAGAGTACCCTGCACCTCCTAAGGGACATCCTCCCAGGCCCAATGCTACCTCCCAGGCCCACTGGTCCAAGCTGGAGAGATGACTACTAAAGCCAAATTCTTGAGGTTACAGTTATGATAACCCCTGGCTGGGGCAGGGCAGAGATGTGGAGAACCAGGATCAGGGGTGTATCTGGAGGTTATGGTCAGGTGAGGTTGGGATTGTGAGCAAGGGTGGGTCAGCGGGATGAGGTCAGGCTATCCCAAGATGTCTGGACTGGATGGGCTGGGGTCAGAGTGACCTGGAAATTTAGCTGGGCAAGTACAAGACAAGATTCCCAGAGGTTCGCCCTGGGGGTACAAGAAGTACAGGCCAAGTGGAGTAGGGTGTGGAATTAGGATGAGCAGCATCAACTGGGTAGGGGTAGGGGATTTAGGCCAGGAGGGATCCGGGTTGGAAGTAACCAGGCAGTTCAAGGAGGGTGGGGTCGAGGCTAGGGCTGACGTGGGGTTTATCCCAGGCAGGATGGGGAAGACCCGGGGATTCAGGCTGTCCAGAAGCAGGGTGGAGAGCTCTGGGGTTCATCTCATGCAGGGTGGGGGTGACTCCAACCGTTCGGGCTAGGCGGGGGCGACGCTGAGGGACCCGGGGTCCCAGGCAGGGCTCACACTCACTGGGGGGGAAGCTGCAGGGCGGGGGCGCCGCGCCGCTGGAAGGCTCCGTCCACGAAGACGCCGTTCTTGCCGAGACAGCGCAGGTAGAAGTGAGGCTCCTGGAAGCTGAGCTGCAGGTGGCGCCGCGAGATGAAGCTGGACAGGCCCATGTTCAGGTCCACCGAGCCCTGTGACGAGTTGCGGCCGATGGTGACGCTGGGCTGCCGCATGAGGAACTCGAACTCGCGGCCCTCGAGGCGCGCTAGCGCCGGCCCGGGACTCTGCCGCACCGAAGCGGCCGCGGCGGCCACCAGGGCAGGCGGCGCACCCGCGATCGCGCCCTGCGTCCCCGGC